TGTGTATGTTCACATCAGCGTATATGCCTGAACTCAAGGAGGAAAAAGGACTTTGTCCCTGTATGCTTGTATGGACTACTCCAGTGCATGTGTTCATTTTAAAATCCTGAAACCGCTAATTACGCCTGTAAACAAATGGAGCCAGACCACACAGGTGGCTGAATGGAAGCAAAAAATGGAATACAATTCCCGTGAGAACTCTCTGCAAGTATTCCTATGTTCTCATGTTTATGAAATTAAATAGAGATTGAATTTACACAGTGGGCACCAGCATGGAAGGCAAATGACCCCAAAGGAGAGATGACAAGAAATCTGCTTGTGAGCACATTCAGATATTTGAATCAGCACATATGAGGTCCAGACAAGCACATCTTGGAGAGTCAATTTTTTTTAAAAAAAGTAAACTTTTGGCGTATGTCCCGCATCCATTTTACAGATTTCTAAAATTTACTACAAATGAATGTGCCATAACACCAGGCAAGCATTAACTGCGACTGACAGCTTCCTGTCTGGACTGTCCTTAAGTTAAAGGTTTCCCCTTGATATTAAGTCTAGCCGTGTCCGACTCTGGGGGGTGATGCTCATCTCCATGTCTAAGCCAAAGAGCTGGTGTTGTCTGTAGACACCTCCCAGGTCATGTGGCTGGCATGACTGCATGGAGTGCTGTTACCTTACCGTCTGAGCAGTACCTATTGATCTACTCACATTTACATGTTTTCGAACTGCTAGCTTGTCAGAAACTGGAGCTAACGACAGGGCTCACCCTGCTCTGCAGATTCGAACCGCCAACCTTTCAGTCACCAAGTTTTGCAACTCAGTGGTTTAACCCACTGCATCACTGTGGCCTTATGGACTGTCCTTAAGGTACTCTATATATATATACACACACACACACACACACATTTTATTGATTAGCCCATGGGTCCTCAAACTAAGACCCACGGGCCGAATACGGCCCTCCAAGATCATTTACCCAGCCCTCACTCAGGGTCAACCTAAGTCTGAAATGACTTGAAAGCACACAACAACAACAATCCTATCTCATCAGCCAAAAGCAGGCCCACACTTCCCATTGACATACTAATACGCTTATATTTGTTAAAATTGTTCTTCATTTTAATCATTGTATTGTTTTTAAGTGTTTTTTGCACTACAAATAAGATATGTGCAATGTGCATAGAAATTCATTCATGTTTTTTTTTCAAATTATAATCCGACCCTCTAACAGTTTGAGGGACTGTGACCTGGCCCTCTGTTTAAAATATTTAAGGACCCCTTTGATTAGCCCATTGGCCGTATCAAAAACATTTGACAAACACACATACACATTACACATACAGTACAACATAAGTTAAAATAAACAAGCTGTTAACAAAGTCCCAATCCAAATCAAATATCTGCATCATCTCTTAAGGTAACTCAATTTCTTTGCTCCACTCTTTTGTCCCGCATTTTGACACTGTCTGGAAGGGCCCTATAGCTGTTGAATTCAGAGAGCTGACTGTAGTAGGTTTCCGATTTCAGGGAGAACTGTGTTACAAGGCAAAATGTTTCTCCTTGTAATGTTGTGAGACTATTCAAGAAGATTTATTTGACAAGGATATTGGGGCTGTAAAATGAAGACAGTGAATCCCACCCTCCCAACATTTCAAAGATGAAAATGGAAATGAATGTGGCCAAGGAACTTTAGAGTGAGAGGTCAAGATGACAAAATTATTACGGTGGAAGAACATTCAAGCTGGTGGGAAGAAACTGCAGCAGACTCCACCCTTCTCTTCTCTCCATCCTCATCAAGGGTTAACTGAGTGCAAAGTAATTGTGCAATTTGAACTCAGTTTTTAGCAGCTGGAGTAAGTTGAGGACAAAGAGAGAAAATGGGAGGATGGGAGAGAAATTGGGGCATTTTAAATTTAGTTGGCAAAGTGGAGTGAAATCCGAGGGATGAAATGTATCCACCTCTGGACAAGGTGCACATTAAGTCAATCAGGATTTTCTCAAGTTTTCTGTCTTTGAAAAATCAATCCTCATTTTAAAAAGTTAGCAAAGCATAACAAAGAAGAAATGAGTAATGTAACAAGTGGTTTACAAAACAGAATGATGAGTAACAGTAACTAATTACATGGAAAACTGCAAAGGGATCCAATCACATTAAAAAAACGAAGGATTGGGCTCTTTAGATAAACTCCATGCCCAGCTTCTTCACTGAAGAATAACCCAGATTCCTGTTGGTGTGATTCAACTGCAATATTCCATAAAGCAAACCACCCTACCATTTTATACCTATGTATCTTTTTACAAGGATTCCTCGGTGTCACAGCAGATTAAACCTCTGAGCTGCTGAACTTGCTAACTGAAAGATCAGGAGTTCGAATCCAGGGAGCAGGGTGAGCTCCTGCTGTTAGCCCCAGCTTCTGCCAAGATAGCAGTTTAAGAGCATGCAAATGTGAGTAGATCAATAGGTACCCCTTCGGTGGGAAGGTAACGGCACTCCATGCAGTCATGCCAGACACATGACCTTGGAGGCATCTACGGATAAAGCCGACTCTTCAGAGTTGGACACTACTAGACTTAATGTCAAGGGGAAACCTTTACCTAATGTTTTAGGCCACCATCCAGTTGAACATCTATTCTAGTCAGCTTTTTAATTAGTCTGTGTGCCATTTCATACGATGAAGGATACTGTGCTTTGCTGAAGCTTACACAGTTATTTGCCAGAAATCCAGCAAAGGCAATTGAATATTTACATCTGTTGGGACCAACCTGGCACCTTATACTCAATCCAAACAGACCTTACCCAGGTGCCTTGATGCCAAATTCCTGCTGCCAAGAACAATCTCTGTGCCAGCCTTAAGGAATCAATGACTTACTGGCTCCAGGTTGGTCGCACCCAGAACAAAACGTCTAACTGTTGTATAAAACAGCATTGTGTGGGGCACACAAGGAGAAAGGAACATTTCCCCCTTTGTCCCCTGAAAACCAATTTGGTCTGGTGCTCATGAAAAGAGATGGAAATCAAGAGCAATCCACTGTGTGCCTTATTAAAACTCCTCTGCCTTAGGTTTAGAGATTATGCCAAGAATTGCCAACATGTTTTCTAAGAGCCTTAAGGACTAGAAACCTCATATATTATGTATGATAAAAGCATAGGGTTCAGTGAATGAACACAGAAAAAAACTCTGTCACTTCTCCCATCAATGCATAAAACTATGAAATCCTGATATATTCTAACAATGCTTTTTGAAATGACTTTGGAAATGAGTGATAGCTCTTCTCCATGTGGCACAGCAATCTCAGTGATCCCACAGGACCCAGTGGTCGTTTTTGCTGGCTCAGATGAAGAACGCCCCCTAAAAAGCCATCCAATGTGAAATCTCCCCCTCCTCTCCCGCCATTGGGGAGCCATTCTCTGGCACGCAAGCCTCGGCCGCACATTTCACCAGGGGCCTTATTATGAATGCTACTAATGAACCATGAAAAGCTATTAACTGCGTCCTGGCTAATCAAACTTCTCGCCGAGAGGGAAGGGAAAGCAAACTTGTTCTTTCTTGTGCTCTCGCTCTCTGTACAAAGTTTGGTCAAATTAATAATAACAACAATAACTATTTTAATACATGGGAGGAAGAGGCAGATATGTCTATGGGAAACCTTTCTTTCCTCCATCTGTCCTTGCACAGTCCACACTGGCATATGATGATGACAATGACAACGGTGATGGTGATAGCAACAACAACAACAACAACAGAACTGTATTTATTTCTTCAGACTCTTATAGAGTGGGCCCTTAATATCTGCTGGCGTTTGATATGATGATGGCAATGGTGATGATGATATCAACAACAACAACAACAACAACAGAACTTTATTTCTTCAAGCTCGTATAGAGTGGGCCCTTAGTATCTGCTGCGGTTTGATATGATGATGACAATGACGATTGTGATGGTGATAGCAACAATAACAACAACAAATAAACTTTCTTTCTTCAAGCTCATATAGAGTGGGCCCTTAGTATTCACTGTAGTTTGATATGATGATGACAATGACAATGGTGATAGTTTTTGTTGTTGTTGTTGTTATTGTGTCAAGAGCGACTTAAACTGCAATTCGCTTCTGGTGTGAGAGAATTGGCCGTCTGCAAGGACGCTGCCCAGGAGATGCCCAGATGATTTGATGTTTTTATCATCCTTGTGGGAGGCTTCTCTCATATCCCCGTATGAGGAGCTGGAGCTGATAGAGGGAGCTCATCCACCTCTCCCCGGATTCGAACCTGCAATGTGTCGGTCTTCAGTCCTGCCAGCACAGGGGTTTAACCCACTGCGCCACCGGGGGCTGGTGATAGCAACAACAACAAGAACAACAACAGAACTTTCTTTATTTCTTCAAGCTCATATACAGGGGCCCTTAGTATCCACTGGGGTTTGATCCCAGGATCCCCATGGATACTAAAATCCATTGATGCTCAAGGACAATGACATGCAACAGTATCCTTTAGATAAAATGGCCAAATCAGCATTTGCTTTGGGGAATTTTCAAGCAATGAATGGTTGAATCCATGGATACAGGATCCATGGCTGGAACATTCTTCTCTGTGACTTTCTCACATATATTTTATGCATGGAAAAGTTTAGAGAGGGTTGAAACAGAATCCGAGAGTCGCCTAGCAACACTGCCTAGAAAACAGAAGATTGGCACTTTTTCTCCCAGCAGGTCTTCTCCTGTGCTTTTTCCCCATCCACACGAGAGACAACAATCCAACTACTTTGGCAGAGGGAAGCCTAACCTGTTGAACTTCTGCCCATCATGAAAGCTGCTCAAGCCAGAGGCAGCTGCTGAAAGTTCAGAAATGAAGCATGCATGGCACTGCCAATCTTACAAGGTCCATAACATGTCAGAGAGACTCTTACAAAAGGCATCACTTTACTCCCACTCTGGGATGGCAGGCACTGTTCTTTTACTATATTATATGCCATTGCAAGTCAGTCTGGCAAAGAAAGCTAACTTACTTGAACTTCTCTCTTTGCTCTCCTCTTCTGAGCAGTGAGCAGCACCAGCTAGCAGATAGATCCCTCCAGGAACAGCAGAAACTTCCTTTGCCTTGCTTTGCTTTCCCTTTCTCTGCTGAACAAAGCCTCTCCTCCAGCAGGTGCCAGGGCAGGGAGGGCTGGCCCCATGGACTGCTGGGAATCGTAGTCTAGGGTGGAGAAACTTAATTCCACTCCCCTTCCTTTCCAGGCTGATGTTTCCCCCTTCTAAATCTCTTCTTCACTTTGTTTTGTTTGGGTGGCTGAGGACGTGACAGGCTTTGTAATCCCCTTGCACCACTTCCCTATTTGCATCTTGCTGTCTTTCCTTTTGCCTGTCATTTGCATTGTGCACAACTTGCCTTTTATTTGCATGCTTTACAATTTAATTGGAAGCAATATTCAATTTTTCCCCCAGGGATTGTGGTTTGGTGAGTCCTTTTATTGCATTTTATTTCATTTGATACTTTGTTTTATTTCTTCAATTTTGTCACATTCATTACTTTTTAAACTAATTATTATTAAACACCCCAAAAGAGAATATCTATACAAATAAAAATGTAATGTTCGTTTGTGGGATTAACAGAACTCAAAAAACACTGGATGAATTGACACCAAATTTGGCCACAAGACACCAAACAACCCAATGTATGTCCTTCACTCAAAAAAAATTGATTTTGTCATTTGGGAGTTGTAGTTGCTGGGATTTATAGTTCACCTACAATCAAAGAGCATTCTGAACTCCACCAATGATGGAATTGAACCAAACTTGGCACACAGTTCTCCCATGACCAACAGAAAATACTGGAAGGGTTTGGTGGGCAGTGTCCTTTGGTTTTGGAGTTGTAGTTCACCTACATCCAGATATCACTGTGGACTCAAACAATGATGGATCTGGACCAAACTCTACACGAATACTCAATATGCCCAAATGAGAACACTGGGGGAGTTTGGGGAAAAATTGATTTTGTCATTTGGGAGTTGTTGTAGCTGGGATTTATAGTTCACCTACAATCAAAGAGCATTCTGAACTCCACCAATGATGGAATTGAACCAAACTTGGCACACAGATTCTCCCATGACCAACAGAAAATACTGGAAGGGTTTGGTGGGCAGTGTCCTTTGGTTTTGGAGTTGTAGTTCAACTACATCCAGAGAGCACTGTGGACTCAAACAATGACGGATCTGGACCAAACTCTACACTAATACTCAAAATGCCTAAATGTGAACACTGGTGGAGTTTGGGGAAAATAGAATCTTGGCATTTGGGAGTTCTAGTTGCTGGGATTTGTTGTTCACCTACAATCACAGAGCATTCTGAACCCGACCAACGATAGAGTTGGGTCAAAACTCCCACACCGAACCCCCATGACCAACACAGTAGGCCACAGCAATGTGTGGCAGGGGTCAGCTAGTCTATATAAATAAAAATGTAATGTTCGTTTGTGGGATTAACAGAACTCAAAAACCACTGGACAAATTGACACCAAATTTGGAAACAAGACACCTAACAACCCAATGTATGTCCTTCACTCAAAAAAATGATTTTGTCATTTGGGAGTTGTAGTTGCTGGGATTTATAGTTCACCTACAATCAAAGAGCATTCTGAACCCCACCAACGATGGAATTGAACCAAACTTGGCACACAGTACTCCCATGACCAACAGAAAATACTGGAAGGGTTTGGTGGGCAGTGTCCTTTGGTTTTGGAGTTGTAGTTCACCTACATCCAGAGAGCACTGTGGAATCAAACAATGACGGATCTGGACTAAACTCTACACTAATACTCAAAATGCCCAAATGTGAACACTGGTGGAGTTTGGGGAAAATAGAATCTTGGCTTTTGGGAGTTCTAGTTGCTGGGATTTGTTGTTCACCTACAATCACAGAGCATTCTGAACCCGACCAACGATAGAGTTGGGTCAAAACTCCCACACAGAACCCCCATGACCAACAGAGTAGGCCACAGCAATGTGTGGCAGGGGTCGGCTAGTCTATATAAATAAAAATGTAATGTTTGTTTGTGGGATTAACAGAACTCAAAAACCACTGGACAATTGACACCAAATTTGGACACAAGACACCTAACAACCCAATGTATGTCCTTCACTAAAAAAATTGATTTTGTCATTTGGGAGTTGTAGTTGCTGGGATTTATAGTTCACCTACAATGAAAGAGCATTCTGAACCCCACCAACGATGGAATTGAACCAAACTTGGCACACAGTTCTCCCATAACCAACAGAAAATACTGGAAGGGTTTGGTGGGCAATGCCCTTTGGTTTTGGAGTTGTAGTTCACCTATATCCGGATATCACTGTGGACTCAAACAATGATGGATCTGGACCAAACTCTACACGAATACTCAATATGCCCAAATGTGAACACTGGTGGAGTTTGGGGGAAATAGAATCTTGAGATTTGGGAGTTGTAGTTGCTGGGATTTATAGTTCACCTACAATCACAGAGCATTCTGAATCCCACCAAGGATAGAATTGGGCCAAACCTCCCACACAGAACACCCATGTGGCCCACAGCAACGTGTGGCAGGGGACAGCTAGTATATAAATAAAAATGTAATGTACGTTTGTGGGATTAACAGAACTCAAAAACCTGGAGAATTGACACCAAATTTGGACACAAGACACCTAACAACCCAATGTATGTCCTTCACTCAAAAAAATTGATTTTGTCATTTGGGAGTTGTAGTTGCTGGGATTTATAGTTCACCTACAATCAAAGAGCATTCTGAACCCCACCAATGATGGAATTGAACCAAACTTGGCACACAGTTCTCCCATGACCAACAGAAAATACTGGAAGGGTTTGGTGGGCAGTGTCCTTTGGTTTTGGAGTTGTAGTTCACCTACATCCAGAGATCACTGTGGACTCAAACAATGAGGGATCTGGACCAAACTCTACACTAATACTCAATATGCCCAAATGTGAACACTGGTGGAGTTTGGGGAAAATAGAATCTTGACATTTGGGAGTTGTAGTTGCTGGGATTTGTTGTTCACCTACAATCATAGAGCATTCTGAACCCGACCAATGATAGAGTTGGGCCAAAACTCCCACACAGAACCCCCATGGCCAACAGAGGGGGCCACAGCAACGCGTGGCAGGGGACGGCAAGTCTATATAAATAAAAATGTAATGTTTGTTTGTGGGATTAACAGAACTCAAAAACCACTGGACGAATTGACACCAAATTTGGACACAAGACACCTAACAACCCAATGTATGTCCTTCACTCAAAAAAAATTGATTTTGTCATTTGGGAGTTGTAGTTGCTGGGATTTATAGTTCACCTACAATCAAAGAGCATTCTGAACCCCACCAACGATGGAATTGGGCCAACCCTCGCACACAGAAACCCCATGACTACCAGGGAACAGCTAGTTATTTACATAAAAAGAGATGGAACAATATGGTTAAAAGAAAAGTAGGAAAAATAAGTGTATAGAATATACATGGAAACAGGTGGAACAATATAGAATCATAGAGTTGGAAGAGATCTCATGGGCCATCCAGTCCAACTCCCTGCCAAGAAGCAGGAAAACTGCATTCAAAGCACCTCTTTGATGACCATCCAGCCTCTGTTTAAAAGCTTTCAAAGAAGGAGCCTCTACCACACTCCGGGGCAGAGAGTTCCACTGCTGAACAGCTCTCACAGTCAGGAAGTTCTTCCTAATGTTCAGGTGGAATCTCCTTTCTTGTAGTTTGAAGCCATTGTTCCACATCCTAGTCTCCAGGGCAGCAGAAAACAAGCTTGCTCCCTCCTCCCTATGACTTCCTCTCACATATTTATACATAGCCCTCATCATGTCTCCTCTCAGCCTTCTCTTCTTCAGGCTAAACCTGCCCAGCTCTTTAAGCAGCTCCTCATGGGGCTTGTTCTCCAGACCCTTGATCATTTTAGTCGCCCTCCTCTGGACACATTCCAGCTTGTTAACTTCCTATTAACTCATTTTCCAAAGACATTGTCAAGCTGTTCCATATTCATTCATTTCTGGGTTCCATATTCATCCATTACACTGCATTTTCAAAGGCTTGTTCAGAGAGCCAGGTTTTTAATTTTTTTTCAGAATGTCAGTAGGGAGAGGGCTGATCTAATATCCCTTGGGAGGGAGTTCCATAGCCAAGGAGTCACCACTGAGAAGGCCCTGTCTCTCATCCCCACCAGGTACACTTGCGACAAAGGCGGGATCGAGAGCAGGACCTCCCCAGAAGTTCTTAAATTCCTGGTTCATTTGGACAGGAAGGCTGGGCCAGAACCATTTAGGGCTTTATAGGCTGAATTGTGCCCGGTAGCAAACTGGCATCCAGTGAGCTGGCGCAACAGATGAGTTGTATGCTCCCTGAGTGCTCCTGTTAGCAACCTGGCTGCCTCCCGCTGGACCATTGAAGCTTCCGAGCAGTATTCAAAGGCAACCCCACGTAGAGCACATTGCAGTAGCCTATACGGAATGTAACCAGAGCGTGGACTACCATGGCCAAGCCAGACTTCCCAAGGTTAAATGTGCAAATGCTTCTACACATGCCCTAAAACATGGAAGATACTGGGATAAATGGAGGGGTGGCTAAATTTATTTATCTATTTACAGTATTTATATACCACTTTTCTCACCCCTGGGGGGACTCAGAGTGGTTTACACAGAAATAGTGGCAAAATACAATGCCTTACAAACGTACACAATCACAAACCATAGAACAAAATATAAAATCAATGGAACAATACATCATAAGATACAATGAACAGACATTTAAAACATGAAATATAAGAATTAAAACACCTAATAAAAGCATTAAAATCACATTATCCAACTCGTAGACTGGATAATGATAATGCACACTGATTTGGACGAACAGCTGAAAAACATGTGTTGAAAAGATGTGCTTAAAGTCTGATTTTGGCCAAAAAATGCATATTTGCATCACTGTATATCTCTGCACTCAATGAAAACACAGGACTTGGTTGCTATACGCTGTTGTGGACTGCTTGGGCACATATGCGCATTTTAAAATAGCAAAACAGCTGAACTGGGCTATAAACACAGATGGCTAAATGGAAAGCAATTCCCATAGGAATGCTCTGCAACCAGTCCTTTGTTCTGATCTTTATGAAATTAAAGTTTGAATTTACAATAGGGTGAATAAAGATAATAAGAAATCTGTGTGTAGATTTAGGGCCCTTCCAAACAGGCACTATATCCCA